GCCCTGCCAATACGTACAGTATGAGCAAGATCAGACTACAGTTTAACACATTGCAAAATGAGTGAAATAAAAGTAGTTGTATTAACTTACAAAAAATGTGGCCTTCATTGCATCGAACTGCTGGGCCACAGAGTTCCATCACTCAAATTAATTTCAGTTTTAAAAACATTAACCTGTAATACATATTTGGAATTGATGTAGGTTTAGCATTTTATTTCATTTGTGGGACGGGAATTTAGTTTGTTTAAAAATCACTCTGGAAAAAAACTTAATTAAAATAAATATAAATAAATAAAAGTCAGGCAAGGAATTGAGAGTTTTGCCTTGAATGTAATCAGTTTTATCCTGTAGCAAAAAATGTATACTTTAAGGAGCAGAGGGAGGAACTCATTAGCTTCTTGATTTTAGCACTCAAGTCTTTCACTGCTGGGAACCCGGTCCATTTTCTCCACTGGGATAGATGCGTATCATAGGTCAGGATTTAGATGCATTGGCAAAGATTTCTTTGGTGGAGGGACAGGGGAGTCAGAAGACAAGGAAATAGAATTTATAAAGTTTACAGCTTGTGCTATTCTACACATTACTCATCTCACCCTAGTTGTACTATCCCTCAGTCTGAAACACTCCTACTACTATTTTTTTAATTAATCCTGGAGAGTATTTTTATAATATTTCCACTCATTATCACAACTAGGATTTTTCATCATAATAGCATTACTGTAGTTTTTAGAAGCCCTAGCCAAGGACCCCAGTGTGCTAGGGAGTCAGTGTCATTTCATATGCCTCCCCAAAAAGAGTCAATTACATCTAACAGGCTCCAGTATCTGTCTAAGCAACCGATGCTGCCCTCTGATTGGGGAGGCTTTTTTCCAGCTCCAACTTAAAACCAGACTAGTTTAAACAATAAGGCCCTATCTAGGCATTCTGCACACATTAGCCCCTTTCTTTAATGCTTCCCTCCAATCCTTTGCAGTGAGGCTAATGTTGCAAGAGGTCATTGCTGGGCTGGTGACAATTTCCACACACATTCAGAACAGTGTGTGGCATCGTTCTGGAATAAGTCTGACTATTCCAGTGCACCACACAGACATCCCCCTAGGATGAGCCTCCCATTGGTGTGTATTTGAGCATAAGTTAACAGTACAAAGGTCATTCTAATGCATGGTTCTCAAACTTTTGTATTAGTGATCCCTTTCACACAGCAAGCCTGAGTGTGACCCCTCCCCCACCCCTAATTAATTTTTTAATATATTTAACACTATTATGAATACTGGAGGTGAAAGTCTGGGGGCAGAGGCTGACAGTTCACAACCCCCATGTACTAACTTCGCTACCCCCAAGGTGTCACAACCCCCAGTTTGAGAACCCCTGTTCTAATAGGTTATAGGTCAGTGACCCAAAAGGGTTGAGGCATCTCTGTCTACAGAGACCCCGCTGGGATAGGCTCAAAAACCTAACAGGATTGGTAACGAGAGAGGGTCTTTCAGAGATTCAAAAGACAGCCCAGGGTGGCAATGACTGAAAATTGTTGCAATCTGATGCCTTCAGTGATATGTACAAGAACATTTTGGTGATCTCAGACCATTTCTTAATAGTAAGAAAATGAGGGTCTTATGCACAAGTTAACAGCCTCAGCAGAGAGAGCAGGGATTGAATGGACACGGCCCATTTCTATTGGTAAGAAAATTAGCTGTTGATCTTCATGTCTCGTCAGTCCCTGCTGTCAGATTTGTGGCACACTGATGGGAAACCAAAAGAAAACTTGTTACTACTGATGCTATTATTCTTCCATGAATAGAGATAGGCTTGGAAGGATTAGATTTTTAATCAGTAAATGTTGGTAGACATCAATTTCACCATACACCTACAAACCCATGAAAAAAATATTTTCTTCAATAACAAAAATGTACAGATAGGCAAAAAGAAAAATCCTGCTTGAGAAGTTACTAGAGTGTGCTTTAAGGATATTTACTTTGTATATTTTGACACACCATCTTGACAATTTGTGTTTTAACAATTATAAAGCTTTAACTTTTTGAATCTCAATGTCTATTGTCTGACCCCTCCATAACTTCCCACAGCTGTGAAAATTAAAAAAAAAAAGTTTAAATGCGTAAAAATAAACTGTCAAAGTTATCAAAAAATAATTAAAAAAAATGAATTCTGCCAAGAACGGAGAAGAGACATCAGGGTTCAAAAGACATCAATCTAGCACCTTTCATAAGCACTAAATTTATTTAAGAAAGTGACATACTAAGAAACTGATACTATTCAATAGTCCTTTCCTGGCAAGCAAGTGACTGAACAGACAAAGAAGTCTCTCGTTTAGGTGATGGTTAAATAGAAAACCCAATGACACTGACTAGGAAGAAAGTTTCTCTACAGTCTCCAAAGGTTTCATTTAAATTCAGATTTTATTTCAAAACAGTCATGAACTTAATAAATTACACAATAATTTTCTCCCTTTATAAATTCTTCATAAAATATATTTTACAATTTTAAAGAAAGATTAGAAAGTCTTTTCTTTCTGAAGTGCTGATGAATATCTTGACCTTTGTCATGCTGGTGAATTATTTTGTAGCTGCGACAATAGTTTGATTTATCAAAGGTTTTACAACAAAGGTTAAAAAAAGAACAATCACACAAAACCACACACCTCAAGGACTATCATTCAGTGTTAACCAATGAAACACTCAGCTTCACCACCACCACTAGGCTAAGCACCATGCGAGGGTCTTATAGGTACCCCCAGCCTTTAAAGTGGCAATCAGTGCAAAGAAACACTTTGGGAAATCAACAGTTCTACTGTATGATCCATTAACTCTATCGCTTTAAATTAATTTCTCAACTGAAGTTAAGAAGCAGGTTCATGGTTATCCTTTGAAACTCTTCAGAGGAGATTAATTGATTCACAAAGAAGGTAAGTGCTAAATATTATTCCAAGACAGACTAACATTTTAGGGTACAATAGTGAACAGACTAGTATCCCTGCTTTGGTATTTTGATATTTTTAAAATCTTCAAGCGTTTGTAGTTCTAGCAGGGCACGATCTTTCATCTTACATAACCCTCAAAAAAGCATCAACTGTTCAATGTTGGAATGTTACTAATACATTGTACAGTAACGCTGCACACACAGTCCAGTTTTACCTTCCTCCTTGCACTGTGACCTTGTCTTTAAAGGCAAGCTGTGGCTTTTAGTATACCAATTCAACTTACAAAACATTAACAGGATGAACAAATGACTTCCAATAAGTTCCATTTATTAATTACAAAGTTTAATTCCCAACCTTACCTTTATAGACAAAGTCACATGCAAGAAATAGTGATGTCACTGTCTAAGCCTGCTCAAGATGACCGGGGCCAATTTTCAGTTGGTATAAATCAGCAAAGCACTACTGAAATCTATGCCAATTTATACCAGCTAAGGTTCTGGCCCAATGTATTCTATCAACATCTCAATATGACAGTACATCTTTTCCTGAAATCTATTGCCACCTTGTATTTTTACAGCATCTTCAAATTTCCAAATGCTTTAGAACCAATAAGCCATACAATACACCTTTGAAACATGGAAGTATACTCACTTGAGAGACACAGAAGTTAAATAACTTGCCTATAGTGACAAAGTAAGTCAAAAATAAAATTCAGGGTTCCTTGCTCCCTGCTAACCCACTACACTGTGCAAGGACAGAATACAATTGGCTCTTACAAATTCCTAAACATTTAGTAAAGTGACCAATAACCCTGCTTCATGGTCCCTTCCCTTTTTGTTTTAGGAGGGACAAACTGTACTTTTCATTTGTGGTAAGTGTTCACTTCACTTTATTCATGGGGACAGTAAACACTGACTGGTCAGTTTCACTTTCTGATGTTCACACAGCAGCCCTAGGGTGCAATGTTTGGATTGCAAGCACTCCAGGGGAACGTTTAAACCCAAACAAGAAGTGTTTTTCATTTTGAAAGTTTTAAAAATTTCATGAACTTGGTTTTGTAAAAAAGTTGTTTAAAAGCCCACTGCAACTTTAGGATTTTACTCATCAATTAGACATGACAGTTGGATAAGTAAATTTCGTCTCAGATCTCCTCCCCCCAATTATGATCAGTTTAAAGGGTAAGCAAGTAAGATCATGCACCTGAGCTAGTGAGCGTTCATGACACTACTGCAAAGCTGTTTTAGTCTACCCTAATATGCACTCTTCATGAAAGTTCTCCATTAACATATGAACCAGTTTTTGTGGAGATGGGTTAAAAGCCTTGTACTATTTCAAAACTTTTAGATTTACCATCCAGGATTAAAAATAAAATAAAATCAAAAGGAATAAAACACTACCTCTTAATATGTAGCAAAAGAATGCAAGGATTGATTAAAGTTTTCCACATAAAAGGTTCAACTAAAGCGGAGATATTTCATTCACACATTGAATTTTAGAACTTCTCTCCAACATTTGAAAATGAAGATGCTCACCATTTAATTAAATCACCCCACAGCACGCTCACATTAAGTGACATAACTGCATCAATGCCAAGAAGAAAGGAAGAGCAAGTGACTAACAGAACTGGGTAACAAACAAAAGGACAAAGAAAAATCGTGTTTCAGTCTTTTTTGGGGGGGCGGGGGGGAAGAGTCTTAGAGTACTATTTTATCTGCTGGATTCCTCTATTAAGTATCTATATTTTCATAAACCAAGTTCATAAAATAACCATCCCGAAAGTGCTGTAGTTGCTACTGGATTATAGATGCACAAGTGCAGGCATGTTAGGAAACTGTAGCCAAAGGTGTTAGAGTATTTGGTTATCAAAATAAAATAAAATTGAGTAATTAATGATCTAACGAACAAGCTAGCACGATTGCATAAATCTGTAATTTGACTCCCTCAGCTACAAACTTACTAGGTGGTAAGTGCTCAGCTAAGAAACATCTCAGCACCTTTAAATCTTCTGATTCCTTTGCATTGCATTTTTGTCTACAAAGTCAAGTTTTAGGCCTTTTTTTGTTAACATTTATAGGCTATAAAAATAAAAATGTAAAAAAACAATTCATTTGGGAGCGGGGAGGGAAGTATGCTTTTCGTTTGTTTTCCTCACAGATCCCAATCATCCAGATTCACACCAAATAATTTAAACAAAAGTGGCATTTTCTCTGTATGGAATGCAAACTCACATGCTCAGTCACTCACATAGACATAAATATATACACATAGTTTTACTTTACAAAGCACAAGGATTTGCATTACCAGCATGCAAACCTCCTCTTCCATGGGAATTCCTAATACTGTGCTAGGAAACTGGAATGTCTGCAATACTCCATAACATATTTCTGGAAAGCAAGAACATCTCAACTCATGAATTTTCTTGGCCAACTTATATAAATTATCTTTACATCCACACTTTAGTATAACATCTTGGTAATATACATATAAATGTATTTAAAACAAAATGGCCAACTCAAGTTTACTTTAATTTATGCAAATCAAAAGAAATTCAGTTGGTAAAAACTAAACCCTGAAGTTCTCAGTTCAGGTTTGTTTTGTTTTTTGCTGCCACAAAAGGCTGCACCATTGTGAAAAAACAGAAGCAGCTCTGTTGAGAGGTTTGAGTATTCGAGGTCACGTGTCCCAGTTGCTGTCTTTAAAAGCAATTTTGACTAATCTGAGTTCTAATTCAAAAGCATCAGGACGGTCTTGTGGGTTGGCAGCCAGCATTTCTTTAATCAGCTGCTTCATACGGGCATTCATAGATTTTTTCTTTACAGGGATGAGAAGTTCCATTTTGGGGTTTTCTAGAAGTGCCTCCCCAACTGGCACAATCTCTGTCCCTTGCTTCACATAGCTCCCCAAAAGTTCTTTCTTAGTCTCAGTGTCTATGAAGGTGATCCTTTCTAACATTGCCCAAATTATAATCCCCAATGCAAAAATGTCTGCTTTTGCAGTGTAATGTCCTTCCCAGACTTCAGGGGCCATGTAGAAGTCAGTCCCACATGCTGTTGAAAGGAAACATTTATTTACGTTGACAGGCTCTTCAGGGTTCTGTCCTGAAGCTGAACATACCTTACTTAACCCAAAATCGGCTACTTTCAGAGTGGGTTCCAAGTCACTAGCATCCATTCTGCTTTGTGAGATCAGAATGTTGTCAGGTTTGAGATCACGATGGATAATCTGATTTTTGTGAAGGAAAGCCAGGGCACTGCTGAGTTGAAGCATGAAACTGGTGTTGGTCTTGCGGCTGGGCTTTCGGGATAGCAGGTACTCATTCATATCTCCTCCATCACAGAAATCCATTACGAACCAAAGGTAATAGGCGCTTCTGGGATCAAAGGCTATTTCTCCTTTTAATGAGGTCTCTACAAGCTGTAACAAGGAAGAGAGATTTCACATACCTGTTCAGGAAGCATAAATCACAGAAACAAAGAACTACTGACTGAAAAAATAAGAAATGAACAGAGAAAGAAGTTACATTCTTATCTATTTCATGTAAAATTTAAAAATTTGTGAAATATCAATGAATTTGACAATCCTACTAATTCTCTGCCTGAAAAACATAGCTCAAACTCCAATTTAGAACCTAGAGCTATGGGCAGATAACAGTATTTTGAAAGATACCCAAGTATCACCTTCTCATCTGTTTCAGCTGGGCAGTGTCCCAGCCACAGCAAAGCTAGATTCACCCATTCTAACAACTTTAATCCAAATACAGCGTTTCAGCCAGTAGCATTGATACAGTGCCAAGGAGTCACTTGTCCTCTGCTGATGAAACATTATGTAATGGAACTCTGAAACTTACTTTTCACTCCATCTCCATGAATAAATTCTAACATACTATCCATGAATAAAATCTAACGAAGAACAATATGCAGAGCTAAACAGCTAAACAGGCTTCTGCTTTTGTTGAAGTTATTTTAAAGTAATCACTTATTAACGAGCTATTTTCCCAGATGCATGGAATATATTTGAGCAGGAATTTCCAGTTACTGATTTACATGAAAACTAATGAAACGACTAATCAGCTTTGTTAGTCCTAGTTACACAACTGTACATTTGCTTCTTCAGCTTATGTGAGGTGGCTTTCAGCACATTCTGGAAGCTAAGCATTTCAAACCATTTGTGTTAATAAAACACCACATTCTATCAATACATACTGGACTAAGGATACTTGGAAAGAATTTTCAAAAATCAAAGCAACTGCTAATATAGCCTTCTAGGAAGACTGTTTGAATCAACGGTGAGGCTCTTCTGAAAAGTGAGTGCAAAACACATGGCAGCTTTAAAGTGACATTGTTAATATAGCTGTGCTCCTAAGGTTGCAAGAAGCAGAGACTGAGCAAGGAATACAAATTATGTTGTTCGAACTACATATTCACATTTTACCCACACCTCATGACAGTGAAATTGATGAACTGTGGCAGTAGCGAGGAAGCTTTCTAGAGAAATATGTCATAACAGTACATTTTTTTTCTTCCATACAGCCCTGCCAAGTCTTCATAGTATTTAGCACCTTGGTTCAGACCATTAGTCCACAAAGTTCAAAATTCCACCCCTGACAGTGGCACAACACCAACAGGCAGATCCTCAACTAGTTTAAACTGTCAAAGTTCCATTGGCTTCAGTTTATACCAGCTGAGTATCTGTCCCCAAATGCTTCCTAAGAAGGCGTTCCCCCTTTACTACTTGAATACTGCATCTGGCCAATTCTGTAGTGTTCTATTTTTTGGTTAGGGACAGGGCAAGAGATTTCACTGCCCCCATCTTAACATGTATAATTATAAATGTCATTATAAAGTTACCCAAGCCTCTTTGAAAGTCTAGATACAATAGATAATTCTATACGTATAAGCTCTCTGGGGCAGGTATCATTTGCTGTTTTTGGACCTAGCACAAAGGAGCTCTGATTTGGCTGAGGCCTGTAGGTGCTACAATACAAGTAATAATAAATAGAAATATACTGAACCCACGCTCTTTGTCATTCTAGCAGTACCCTTTCCAGAGTAGCAGCCGTGCTAGTCTGTATCCGCAAAAAGAACACGAGTACTTGTGGCACCTTAGAGACTAACAAATTTATTAGAGCATAAGCTTTCGTGGACTACAGCCCACTTCTTCGGATGCATACAGAGCTCTGTATGCATCCGAAGAAGTGGGCTGGATGCATACAGAGCTCTGTATGCATCCCTGCTGTACCGTACATCAGATCATTTTCTATTAAATGTAGAGGATTTTTAGAGTGATTTTTATAGAACTGCTACATTTCTGTAGAAGCCTATTGGATTAAGTCCTAATAAATTCCATAGAGGGTTTGCTGGCTCAGTGGCTTCTGATGTCCTTTCTGGTCTCTGTAGCTCAGTGCATTTTAGCACCAGAACAT